TTAAAATTATTAAATATTATTTAATATTAATTTTTAAAATTATTAAAATTTTAAAAATTAGCTAATATTTATTTTTTTAAAATTTAATTTAAAAATTTGAACATATAAATATATTTTTAAAATCAATTTTACCATGATAGAATCAAATTATCATATCCAACCTAACAATTTAAAATTTAAGAAATTTGAATTGACTTGTCTAAACAAAATATTTTAAAAATGATAAAAGTTAAAATTAAAATAATTAAAATATCAAGAATTTAAAATTCTTTAAATTTATAAAATTTCTCATCTAAATACAGTATAAAGCACATCTACTCATTTGATTGTGATTGCTTTATATGAAATGTTGCAGAAATAGGAAAGAAGTGGAAATAAGAGAGGAAGAGAAATAGGAAAGTAGTGGAAATAAAAAAGGAGAAATATTATTAATTTATTGTGAAGTTGAGTTTTCATTGATGGGAAATTAATGAATGCAGGTTTTACATGTTTTTAATTTCTTCTCAATGGTGAGAAGAAATATTAATGAAATTAAGGAGAAAAAATGTGTGATATTATTATCATGTAAGTCTTCTATTAGGTAAGTTACTTGAAAGATGAGAAGGAGTAAAGAATTTACAAAAGAAATTATTGTCGTCCACCCCTAATTAGCTTATGGTTTGCACATGCTTCTCTTTTACTAAGGAAGCTTGCGATCATACCATTTTTGTTTGTTTGTGATACTGTTTAAGCTTAAATAAATTTCATATTTGTTTTATTGTTGGTGTTTTTTTTTCTGATTTAGTTGTTGCCTATCATTAATGTGATTATTTGGTTTTATAGCACAGATGAGAGGTGAGTTTCAAGTAATTCTAATTTGGATCCTAAAATGATAAATTTGTATATTTTGTGACACCATAATCGATGAAAACATTTGTTTAATTGATTATATATGTTCATCGATTTAATATGCATGGAGGGTTAAATCAGAATGTTATTTGTTTGAATGGAATTTATTTGTATTCGATTGTGCCTGATTTGCTTTCAAATGTCTATCATTTTTCATTCGAATATGGGTTTGGCTATATTCAATTACATCAATTTTCATTTCATCAAATTTTTTTCATACATTTTATTTACATCAATATAGAGGGAAATAAAAAAATAAATGTATAAAATCAAATAAACGATGTAATAGAAAACCAAATATGGGTTTAATATTCCCATTATAAGGAAAAGATTAAAGAAACAAAAAGAGCTTTTTATGTATTGTAAGGCTGTAAATTGTAATGCAATCAACGTGCGTAAACAGTAAATTTAGGAGACATTCTCTCAAAGTCGTGCACTAAATTTTATGTAAATTTAGTTTGAAAAGTAATTTAAACATGTTTGAATTATCTAATATAATAAGTTTTAATAGTAAAATTACAAAATGAAATTAATTATGATAATTAATCGTCACACTGGACAATTATTAGAGATAAAATGAAAGAAAAAAATAAGTTAGCTAAAAAGTAATCCACTAATTTTAATTACAATCACCAAAATTTTCCTCATTTGAGAATAAATCAGTTCCCCTGTAACAGATTATGGTATGATTTTCACGTGCAATAGTAAAAACGAGGGAACAAGATTATAACAAATTGCTGAAGTCTGAAGTCTCCCAAGGACCACTAATACAAGTGGTGCATCATGCACCACTTTTATTTATTATTAGATGCATCCAACTTATTAGCATATTATACACCCTATCACACAAGATCTAAGTCTCCGAATTTTTTACTAAAATAATTTTTTTTTAAAAATTACCTAAAAAGTAGCTGTTCTAATTTATTTACGCTTTGGTGTTCACGTTCAGAACGGGCCGTTCTGATATCAGAATGGGCATTAAACAATAACACATGACGAATGGATCAGAACGGGCCGTTCCGAAATTAGAACGTCCATATTCAAAAATAACACATGACCAATTGAACCAGAACAACCGTTCTGATTTTGAAACGGGCCGTTCTGGCCAGATGGACATATGGAACAACAGACATGAGCACACATTGATGGGTCATCCAATGCAAGGCCCATTGTTTCACACATGATAATACATGAAATGGTACATGGCCAATTCCATCTATTTCCTATTTGTGCCACGACTACTACAAGATTCAAGGACCCATCAACGACGAAGGACTTCCACAACATTTGAAATTGGTGCAACTTTCATGTGATCGTATGAAGAGACTCATTAGCATGTATCAAATCCTCCACACAACATCACCCCATAAGAAAACATAATTGACAAAAGGTATGCAATCAATGGAAAAATAGAAGAATGTAGAGGAAAAATGTGCCCACACCCATCAACAACGAAGGACTTCCACAACATTTGAAACTGATGCTACTTCCATGCGATCGTATGAAGAGACTCATTAGCATGTATCAAATCCTCCACACAACATCACCCCATAAGAAAACATAATTGATAGAAGGTATGCAATCAATGGAAAAACAGAAGAATATAGAGAAAAAATGTGCCCACACCCATCAACGACGAAGGACTTCCACAACATTTGAAACTGGTGCAACTTCCATGCGATCATATGAAGAGACTCATTACCATGTATCAAATCCTCCACACAACATCACCCCATAAGAAAACATAATTGACAGAAGGTATGTAATTAATGGAAAAACAGAAGAATGTAGAGAAAAAATGTGCCCACATATTGTCAGCCTCATGAGATGGTGTTGTGCTACAGATGTATTAGAAGAAATGAAGTGTGCTTAATGAGTACTCCTTCTAACTTCTAAAATTTCTAATGTTAAATTTCATGGTATTTGGTAGGTTTAGGGTTTAGGGTTTAGGGTTCAAAACATTCTTATGCTCCCAAGTATTTTCCAACAAGGTTCTATCATTTTTATTTTCATTATTATTTTATTTTATTTATTTTTATATGCATAAAAATATTGTATTCATTTTCGACTCATTATATTTTGACAAATTGTGAATTTCACATGTTATTAAATTATTTTTTTCAACTCAACTACATATTTGTCATAAAAACTTTTTTTTAGCAAAATAATATTTTTTTCATCTTACTAAATTACATTTAAAATTTAAGTATAATTTTTCAATTAATAATATTTTTCTATTAGAATTAGAGGTTTACATTAATTATAGGCATAAATTTCTAATTCTAATTAGAAAATAACACCAAACAAAATTTTCTACTATAAATATAATTTTCTCTCATTTAAATCATTGCAAAAATTTGTTAATTTTAGTTTTACATCTTGATATTTTCTTCTTAAAAAATGATGTTAATAAATATTTTTAAATTTGATTTACATTAGTTTAATTGCTTTTAGGTAGAGCTGTCAAAACGGGTTAACCCGACCCGTTTGGCCCGACCTATCTCAACCGACTTTTTAAGTCGGCCAACCCGGCTCGGCCCACCAAATTTATTATGCAAATTTTTCTAGCCCAGCCCGGCCCACCACGGGTTGGTGGGCTAAACGAGTCGCTCACCAACCCACCTGATTTTTTTAAAAAAAATTAATTTAAAATAAATTTCAATATAAAATAATATTTAATCTAAAGTAAAAATTATCAAATTAAGTATCATGAATACAATATTAAAATTAAATTAAAACGTGTACAACTTTAAAAATTTAAAAACAAAAAAAAATAAAAATTCTTTCATGAGAGTGATTATTCATCAATATTAAATTTTATTAGAGGTTTGGATAGATAAATTTATACCAATTTCATATTTAGCATTGATTTTATCGTTATCTATAAAAAAATGACATCTTATTAAAATAATACATATATAATAAATAATTATGTGAGTTGTTAGTGAGTTAAGTTGATGGGTTGGTAAGTGGGTCAGGTGGGTCGCCCGGCCCACCACGGGTTCAACTCGGGTGGGCTGGGTCGAAAGTGGGTCAGGTCACATTTTTTGACCCATCATAAATTTTTTTCATTTTTTGGCCTGGCCCGTCCCGTTTTTAAGGTGGGTTGGGTTGACCCACGGGCTGGAGCCCACTTTGACAGCTCTACTTTTAGGATGCATAGACTTTCGTCATTTTGTTGCCAATGCCACAAACATTAGGCGTGAATTAAATGTTACCTAGTGTGAGGAGAGATACTCATTTTTTATTTAGATTTGCATCGGGTAATGTATGTGGCGTTGAACATGAGTTAGACAAAGGTCATCTGCCTGATTAGGGTCGGGCGTGAGATTTGCCATACCAGACACGAGAGAATGGGAGATTCTTTGCCTCAATTACAGTAGGTGCGAGTAGTTTGGTGCTAAGTGTGAGTGAGATATGAAGCCCCTTCCTCAATGACATCAAGCATCCTATGAATGAAGTTGAGCGCAAGCATGAAGAGTAAGAACAAATCATTGATATAGATATATAAAGAAAAATGTGTGTGTGTGTGTGTATATATATATATATTCATAAAAGTTGAAAGATTATATCCAATTTCAAACAAGGAGTGATTTAGTTATTCATTTCCATGGTAGCCTTCAAGAAAAAGATGGAAAGAGGAAGAAAATGTACTAATGATTTGATATTAAGCTCCAAAATGAGTGTCAAAAACAAAGTTTATCATGCCCAATATATTTGAGAAATAACTTACTAACAAGATGTATCTACTTGTCAATGCTTTATCAATTAAGAAATACACAATTAAATGTGTTTAGGGTTTAAGGTTTATGTTGATTTGTGATAATAGTCGTAGCACAGATAGGAAATAGATGGAATTAGTTATGTACTATTTCATGTATTCTTGTGTGTGAAATAATGGGTCTTGCATTGGATGACCCATCAATATGTGCTCACGTATGTTGTTCCATATGTCGACCCATCTGGCCAGAGCGACCCATTCAGAAATCAGAACGGCCCATTCTAGTTTAACAGGACATGTATTTTTTTTTTAATCTGGAACGGGTCGTTCCATATTCAAAAATAACACATGACCAGTTGAACCAGAACGGGTCGTTCTGATTTCGGAACGGGTCGTTCTGATCCATTCGTCATGTGTTATTTTTTCATCTAGAACGGCTCGTTCTGATCCATTCGTCATGTGTTATTGTTTCATTTAGAACGACCTGTTTTGATTTCAGAACAGCCCGTTCCGAACGTGAATAGCAGTTGCGTCAATAAATTGGAACATGTGTTTTTTGGATAATTTTAAAAAAAAATTATTTCAGTAAAAATTTAGGAAACTTAGATCTTGTGTGATAAAGTGTATGATATGCTAATAAGATTAGATGCATCTAATGGTAAATAAAAGTGATGCATCCATACACCACTTGTATTAGTGGTCCATTAGAGAATTTACCTTAATTTATAATCCAATTCTAACATGTAATATTGCATATCAGTATCTCTGACAGCTATCCAGAAAATATGATTAGCATGAAACTAAAACAGTACCAGTTGTACATCGAATATGTGTGTGTATATATATATATATATATATATATGAGGGAGGTTATAATAACACCAGTGTAACTTTTACTAAGTATTACACCGCTCAATAACTTTATATTAAATGTGAATTTTGTAAATCCAACCGTTAAATTGAAAGTTTATATCTCTTAGATCATATATACAAAGTTTATATTAATCCAAGATAATTTGTTACTTCACTTTTATAAAACGAAATGAACGTAATATGTATATTTTAAAATATATTAAAATATGAACACTTTGATTACCTTTAAATTATTATTCAATTTTAACAAAATTTGATATACACATATAAAGTGATATAAATTTTCAATCTAACAGTTGAATTTACAAAATTCACATTTAATATAAAATTATTGAGTGGTATAACACTTAGTAAAAGTTACACCGGTATAATTATAACTCCCCTCTATATATATATATATATATATATATAAAATAAAAACAGAATATTCCAGCCTTATAACACATTAACATGTAGCCTTCTAAAACGAGGTTTCCTTTACCAATTATACAAGAACAGTTTACCAATTATACAAGAACAGCATAAAGGCATTAGTACTTTACCAACCAAAGGGTTTAAAAGAAACAGTACCACTTGACTAAGTCGCAAGTTAGAGCATAATTTAAATGCAACTCAATACGACCAATGTTCATAATTCATATAGCTAGAAACATCTATATATTGAAGAAATGTACTCAGAAAATCTAGAGAAATAAGCATGTCAGACAGAATATAGCTTAAAATGTCAATAAAATCTTACTTATTTTTCTGTAAATTTATCTGCAACTACATCGTCATGCATTGTACGTATACATAGCGGCCCAGAAAACCTGGAGCCCACATCATATTAGTTCTTACGTTCCAGAAAGTAATAAACAAATTTTCTGTGCAGAGTTCATATATAAAAGCATAAAGCATATCTCCTACGCTCCATTACTCACTAACATTGACCACCCATTAATTTCAATCATCTGTTCTATAATCTTCTTTAATGCCGGAGCACTAACAACGCAATCCTTATTAGCAAAGCAGGATGTGCCTTCTTCAGCTGCCTTACAAAGCTGCGGATCTAAAGGAACTTTACCAAGAAAGGGTATCCCCATATCATTGCACATTTTCACTGCTCCACCACCACTACTATCAAATACTTCACTGCAAGCAAGCAAATTCAGCATTTCTGGCGCTTTTTCTCTCATGTATTCCCAAACCCACTGAGTTACATCTTTCTGCTCACCATTATCAGTCAATTTCATAAACTTGAAATCTGTGATGGGCTGGCACAGGCCACTCATATTCTCTACAACCCCAAGAACTTTCACGCCAACTTTCTTGCAAAAGTTCACTTCTTTTCTCACATCAATAAGAGAAACTTGTTGAGGAGTAGTAACAATGATTGCACCATCTACTCCAGTAGCATCAAGGCATTGAACAATGGAAATATGTTCATCTGAGGTTCCTGGTGGTGCATCAACAATCAGAAAATCAAGTTCACCCCAGTAGACATCTTTTAAAAACTGCTTGATAAGCCCATTTTTGCGCGGGCCTCTCCATATAACAGCTTCATCAGGATGGGGAAGCATGAACCCAATTGACATCACCCCAAGGTTGGATTCCACATAGACAGGAGACCAACCAAGGTTGCTCTGGTGTATCTCTTGACCTTCTAGGCCAAGCATCTTTGGAATGCTTGGACCACAAATATCAACGTCAAGAAGACCCACCTGAAAATCCCTTGCTGCTAAAGCAAATGCCAGCTGGGCAGAAAATGTGCTCTTGCCAACTCCTCCTTTTCCTGATAAGACCAATATCTTATGTTTTACGGTAGCCATTCTTTCTGCAATGGCAACAAGATCTGCAGAAAAAAATGTAGAATACAGGGTAACTAAAATGTTTATAAATGAAGGCAATTCAATTTCTCAACATTTTAAGTTCTAAAATGTTCTAAATTTCCATATCCAAACTCAACAGCAAGAAAACGTTTTTGCCATTAAGGAAAAAAAAAAGCTTTTATCACTGTTAGCCATAAAATAAAGGGAAATAACAGAAGCTAGAAAGAACACATTATATAAATCATGTCATAAGCTAGCTAATTGTTCTTGCCTTCTGTCAGTAAAAGAATGGAAAGAACACCAAACAGTGAAGTGCAGTTCAACTCATATCGGTTACTTGTTAGTTCCATACAAATGTCCACAGAATTAATAACCCAGTTAGAGTGAACAAGAAATTTAGTGAACTAGGCAGAACAATGACAGCTCAAATGCTTCTCTGTCCTCGCTTAAAATTTCTTGTCATAACAATGACATCCCAAAATCCAACAATATGATGACAAGCATATGACTGTGAAGGAAATTATTCAAGCCCTTCCCTGGCTAGTCAACCCATGTAAGCAGTGACAACAATAAGCCGGGGTACAAATCACATTACTAACAATGTCTACTACATAAGAACACTATGTTCACAACATACTGAGAAATAATCCCAAATTCTAGAATCATCAATTATGGTACCTGAACACGCTTATATAAATAAATCATGTCATGTTGAAGTAGTTGATAGTTGCTGTAAAGAGGCATAAAAGCATAAGATAAAGGTGAAGAGTACCAGGGTCAGGTCCTTTGGGGGCAGTGGCACAAATTTGCTGATTTGGGCATCCTTCGCATGCATCAGATTTTCCAGCAGATTCAGACTGAGGACCTGGGCAATCTGTAAATGCCATAACACAAAACAAAACAACCATATTCATAGGCATATATAAAACTACAGAAGCAAAGTGAAGTTCCAGAAAAGAAAGAAAAATGTATACATACGCTCATTAGCATTCTCAGGGATGTCACCATTCTCCATGGATGCTCTTCTCAAGTTGAAAAAAATATATCTGAAGGAAGGAAGAACGTGTCACAGATAAAGATGAGATAGGCAGTAATGTTTTTGCGGCAAGCAGAAAACTATCAATGAAAAGCAGAGAGTAAGATCAAAGAATCAACAATCAAAGGACAGGCCAAACTGAAAAACAAAAATAAAATGACTTTGTAAAACCAGCATTTTTAACAACAAAACTGGCTCTGGTCTAACTTAGCATTCTAATAAAGTTTGTTCTAGCAATTCAGACTGGTTAGGTTAATATTGCTCATCTCCAAAACAGCGAGCAGGATAAGTTATAAGTTAATTGTTAAAAAGAAAAAAAACAAAATAGAACAATTCTATAGAACTAATAGAAGAACAAAGAAATAAGCTGAAATTCAACTCAGAAGGTTCTGATTTCTGATCACAATTCAACATCAACAGTCTTCCGTGCATACGTATACAGAGCAATTGCTTAAGCACATCGAAATATAAACTAATTTCTCAAATTGAAATCGCAAAAAACAAATGAGACATACCTGTCACCGTCGGCGTGGTGGTGCGGTAGCACGGAGAAGAAACAACAGAAATAACCCTAAGTCGGCGAGGTGGTGCGGTGGCACGGAGAAGAAACGAACACAATTAACCCTAAGTGATCGCAGTGGAGAAGTTGAAAATAGAGCCAGTGGGTTTTGTTTTTTCGTGAGTGGGAGTGGGCATTAGACTTGGGTGGGCGACTAATGGATTTGGGCTTCAGTCCAATACGGTGGGCCGGTTCTATGCTATTTGGGCCGCTAAACAAAAACCATCCAATAACTCAAAACAGTTTAAATTCGGTTATTTGCGAAAGTGAGAAAGAGTTCGAGGTTGAAGGAGCCAGGCGATCCAGTGAGGGAAGAACTTGAAATTTTGGTACAATTTATAATTCTTTATTTTTAGCTAATTAATTTTTTTATTAAAACTCTTCAATTTTAACTCATTTTAGTAAAGCATACTAACAAAGAAATTTAGCAAAAATAATTTTAGATCTCCCACAAAATTATCCTTTCTTCCTAAAATATTTGGCTTAATTTTAGAAGAAAAAAAATGGTATTTCAATTACTCAAATTTAATTCCCAAACTTTTTAAACTAAAAAAGTTAATCCAATACTTAATTCAGCATCACATTCCTAACAACATTTTGAATATATATATATATATATATATATATACTTTAACACTATTCATAAAAACCACTTCAACACTTGGTATTATATGACTATTACAATAACAATAATCTATACTGATATTAAAAATTATTTTATTTGGTGTAAATATTTCTTTTACCTATTTTATAATTAGTAATTGTTAAAAAAAACTATCATAAATAAATAAAAACAACAAAAAAAAAATCATTACTTTTATGTTTTTATGGAATTATGTAATGCTTTTTTTCATGTTATTAGTATAAAAAAAATTCTCATTTTTGTATACGCATATTTTGAACAATTTTATTTTTGTAACTATCTTTATAATATTACTAGTGGATTGACACACTTTGTGTCTTTATATTTGTTTAAAAATATTTAAAAATTATTAAATATTTATTAAATTAACTAGTGTTATGTTTAATTCTTGAATCTCAAGATCTCAAGTCTTGAATTTATAAAAATAGTTAATTTTTAATATTATTTTATATTATTTAAAAATTTAAGGATAAAATAATTTAAAAATTATATACTTGAAAATGGGAAATCGCTTCTATATATAAGTATAGATTATACACATACATGTATAATAAAATTCTATGATAATTTTATAATATTATTATTTTGTGTTTATTTATTTTCATCATTAATAAATATAATAAATGAAATAATAGAAATATAGACATAAAGAGTAATGTTGTAAAAGTTATTCCATTATATAGTTTTATCATATATATATATATATATATATATATATATATATATATATATATATCATCCCTTTGAACCAATATAATTGGCTAAAGGTAGGGGTTAGAATGTGTGTTTAAATATTAGTTTAAAAATATGTTCAACAGAAAAAAATACATATTCCAATGAAAAAAAACAACTTATAAGTAACTCTTTTTTCAATTTCAGTTGAGTTTAATTCAATTGGTTCTCATATACATAGAGTCTTAGGTTTAAAGTTTTATGTTATCATTATAATTCCTATATATGCATTAAAAAAAATATCAATGTTTTTTTCTTTAATGAATCTGGTGAGATTGATAGATGTTAACGTTGTTAGAACTTAGTAGAATGGATCCTATACTTTTTAGGCAAAATAATCTTACAAATGCTCCATTCACAACCAAATTAACTATCAATTTCTTATAATTGCTAGTACAAACCACTAAATCTATGAATTGAAGGTTCTTTGCCAGCACGTTGAAGATGAAAGGATAGATACACTACATGAATAATGTTCAAAGCCTAGGTGAAGGAAGTGGTGAGACAAATACAATAATTAGTAAAGAGAACAATGAGCAAAGACATGTGCCTTAGTTAGAGTTCGTTAAAGGCATATGTATAAGGAGAAAACACATAAAGTTTCTTAATCATTATACGTGTACATATGTTAGCTTTTACAATAAATAATTAAAAATTATATTTATAGGGAATTGTAATTGATTAACAATATAAAATTATTTTATGTGTTTAATTATTTAAAAAATTCATGTGAAATTATAAATTTTTTTTTCTAGGCAAAATGAGATATATTAAAAGGGAGTACAAGGGGTACTCCAACCCATAAACAGTTACAAAAAATAACTAAAACCAGATATACAAATTCATTTTCTTAAGTAACCTACAAGGAATAACTAAGAAAACCAGACCAAAAGTAATCCAAAATAAACAAGGTCAACCAAAATCACTAAGAAAAACAAAAAACTAATACTCCATGACCTCACCATCCAACAACCGAGCATAATGATGAAAATCATCTCTATCTTGACCGCACAACAAATAAAGGACCATTAAAAACCAAATTCAGAAGCTGCTACATATAACCACCAAAGACACTTATGTTGACAACTTAATAAAGATTAAGACATGCAGCAAGTTGCCCTGACCAACAAGAGAATGGATAGTAAAAACCAAAATCTTTAGCTTTCAGCCACTTCCAAGAGCGTAGTTTTATCAATTCAACCAAATCCTTTAGAGATGTGAATTTATTAGCAAATATAGCTTCATTTCTCGCCAACCAAATACTCCATATTGAAGCCAACCAAATCACCGCCCATTTGTACTGATTTTTAGCAACATAACTAGGAAGGCCTAGGAACTGCTCAAAATGAGATATGAAATTATTTTGATGAGTAGCAAAGAGGCCACACCATTCCAATTAATAATTAAATACATAATTTAAATTAATAATTTTGATTTAATAGTTACATTTAAATATTTTTTAATATAACCAATCATGCTTTTATATTTGAACAACCTAACAATAATGTCATTAACTCGTTGGTATGAAACATTAGTAGAGTTTTTCTCTGCCACAATTTTTATATTCACGCACTCAGATTGAAGTCATTGTTTAAAAAATTTGAACTGAACTCCCCTCAATAGTAATTTTTGCGAAAGTGCAGGAACCCAATATCAAGTTCCACAACTCTAAACCATAGAGAAGAAATGCATATGAGATAGTGAGAAAGAATTCGAGGTTGAAGGAGCCAGACGATCCAGTGAGGGAAGAACTTGAAATTTTTGGCAGAATTTATAATTCTTTATTTTTAGTTAATTAATTTTTTTATTAAAACTCTTAAATTTTAAATTCATTTTAGTAAGGCATAGTAACTAGTGATGCTAATAGATTAGTCTTAAATCAGAAACCTATTACTTCTTTAAAATTTGATCACACTTAACCTATTTAATAAAAAGGTCAAATTAAATATTTTTTAAAAAAATCTATTCATATAAAAGATTAGACTTAAGGCTAGAAAAGTATATTAGATCTGATAGGTCAACCTGTAACGACCCGCCTAGCCGTCATACTATATAACAACACTACACAGAAGTAGAATATGCATACAAAAAGAATATATGCATATATCCAGCCTGAGGCTCAACAAGTCAAAGTATATCTAATACTAACAAAATCCTACACCGAGGTAGCCTACACAAAATCAGCTCCAGTCACCACCTGTTGCACTGCTACTACTCTCCAGCCTATCCCTGCTCTGCTCTCATACACAGTATGATCATCGTAGTCCAAACGACATGGAAACATGCAAGAGTAAGCTAGTGAAAATAATCAACATATAGATATAGACAAATTACAACTTTAACAATAGAACAACAATTTCAACAATTCAACGTTCAACACATAACAACACCCAACTAAACCACAGCTACACAACACAACAACATATATACAACTCATATCAACATCAATTCAACTCATCAACAACTTTTACGTCATCACGCAGTTCAACTCGTAGATCTCCTACAACATGGGTGAGTAGTCTAAGTGGCTAAGTCCTACCGAACCGACAACACAGAACCTTTTTAGGCTTGCTAGGTAAACAGTAAATTTGGATATCAATCTACAACTTCACGATTTCTCAGACTTTGCCACTTAAACAAGGAAGTATAGCACTATGTCATGATAGAACAACTGGGTTTAGGCCTACCACGACATTAGCTAGCTCAACTAAGTCATCTATGAGATGAGCCTACCAACTATCCTCCAAATACTACAACCCTCCGATACTCGGTTAGGAACTAAGTTTCTGACTTCGTACTTTACTCAAATTGGCCGCTTGTAATCGGTATAGCTTGACCTGACCCCTATACCGTGGTCGCTTTATACATGTGTGCCTCGACCTTGCCCACACACGGGATCAACTAAGTCCTAGAGGAGAACAACACAACGTCCACTCCAAGGGACAACTTTCCAAGGAGGATTTTCAACAAATTGGGCTCTTAGAGCACCACAACTATCTCAATCCGCACAATGGGATGAGCAACTTCGAAAATATCTCCTCTAGTCCTAGTGATCAACAACTTATCATCACAACTGAATCAGCTTTGAACTTAACAACACAGCTCAGCTCAACAACTTAATCAACACACAACTTTTCAACTTTACAACGTAGTCAACTCGACAATTAACAACACACTTCAACAGCACAATAACTTCTAACAGCATTTAACAACATGTTTTAGCAACAAAGCAACTTATCCAAATTATACATACAATATTTCTTCACAATTACACAACTACGATTCAACACACAACTACATTTTCTCATCATATCACAATATTCAACATTTTCTTAGTCATACAATCAAACACATCACACCCGGTGCAAGTAAACTCGCGTCTGGCCTGAACCCAACCTGAGAGCTCTAAAGCTCTCCCACGCCTGGCGTAGCATCATCACTCCCGATGAGTTGGTAGGCAGAGACTTTCAAGAGTCTCCCAAGCCCAGCATGCCAAACTCGCGCTCAACACAAATCAGGTAGAGAACTCACTAGGGTTTCACGCCTGGCGCGCTCATTCTGCGCCCGGTGCCTGATAATGTTAATTTGTACTTACATTCTAGTACCAAATTTGTTAACACATTCAACTCTTTCCTAACTTTCGACTTATGTAATCCTCAATTTAACTTCTCTTTTGTAAGTAAAGACACTTTGGTTACACATACAGGGTTATACATATTTAATCCCCATTTTTTGTGATTTTTTGGATAAGTAATCATGT